GTGCGGTGAGTCTGTGTACGAGACTGACGTCAAATGAAGGGATTCGTATTTTCGGGGAGTAAAATATTTCGCAAACTAATTAGACCATATTTCAGCAACTCACTCCGCAATAAAAACCAATGAGCATCCTTGGGTTAGGCAGAACTGAGTGCTATCAACCGCGTACCCGGGTTGTGGATAGGGATTCATACCTTCACCGAAGAAGGTTAGCCGTGAATAAGTTGTGACATACAACAACAAATAAACAGTGGCGAAAAACAGCGGTGATGAAAGGTATCTGACGTCAGAATCAGATCTGACCATAGTGTGACCACGTGACTATAGCGCATTCCATTGGTTTATCTTTGGGACTGTCATCTGTTAGAGGAAGAGTCATCTTTCCGGAGAACTTGGATGATTGCTTGCCGTGCACTGCTGCTTTGTGGTCGATGCAGATAGTCACCCAGCGATGATTCCATTACTGGAATCCGTGGGAAAAATGTCGACTTGGATGTTCCATGTCCGACGTTATTTAAGTATTAAGTTGTTTCTCAACTCTCCATGAGAAAATCGTCGAGATGTGACTCCACTTTGGACTCAGTGTCTGACCACAAGTTTTTTGATTACCCGCATACGAACCAAGAAGTTTCATAAAAATGCTTTCAATTATCTCAGCTACTCTTCATCTGATTTGACATACCTATGGGTACATCTGTCCACTGGGGAAACATCTTCCCGGAGTACCAGTTGCGAATCCAGTGTCAACAGCTCGGGGGACGTTCTGACAACCATCCAAATCAAGGTTAGATCTTTCTGTACGTTCCACATACATCAGCTGGTCAATCTGAAGGCTCTTAAAAATCAAGATAGGACAGTACAATACCATTCTTGTATGATATCCAGAATATTTATTCGTCCAGCGAACTCCATTCATACGTTCAAATTTAGGATCATGATTGCGGACCAGTTTGACCTAAAAAGTGGTTATTTTTTCAGACCGGATCAACTGCGATCTAACAAGATAGAGGCAGTTCAGCATGGTTGAAAATCACCGGTTGATTTCACCTACGCTGCGTTATCTCTAAGTACATTATGGTTGAGTTGCACGACAGTTTGCTTATCAACATGCATAAAAAAATTCTGTCTTTATTTGGATTTTTTAAACTGATAAAAATGTCATTGATTTTCTCAACTGTCACTGTACATCAATAACCCAATGATGAGACATGAGAGCTTATCTCTCTGGTTCTTATTTTACGAAATCACTTTGCCCAAGCATCGTAAACATGGTAGAATGTCAAAATTTAAGTTTACGGAGTAATGTTATTTGTGATTTTACATGAATTCAGACACTATAAAAAAGTGGATGACAGCAAACGCCTGGATCCGTGTTTTTTAAGGAATATCGGAAGAGTAATAACAAATAATTTGAAAAACAAGAATTTTTACAAAAATCACGAATTACATGATTTAAAGTGATTTTGAAATTTATTTCTTGTTTTTCATTCGGTGAAATAAAGTAATAGTATCGAGTAAAAGTAAATGAAGGTGTCACTTTGTATCAGTTCGAATTTTTCTCGAAGCAAGAGATATAATAACTATTTAATGATTGAAAACATGTCATTGGTTATTACGCATGAACTGCCACTGTTGGTTTGGAAAACATATCATGCTCTTCAACACAGAAATTTTGAACCCGGATTCTATGGTTTGGGGTGAAAATTCTGTGCAGAATCTATGGGTCTTTAGGTATAGATACATGCGTAATGGTTATGACCATTTACTCCTTATTGAAGACTAAACTGTAACCGTATAATGACAAATCAAACTTCCCGTAATAAACACAGATAAACCTTCGTGTGTTCGACTTCATTTCTCTCACTCATCAAAATGTGCCTACTCATTCATAGTAAGTAGTTCATTTCAAAATTTCAATAACGATCACATATTCCTATGCCTTGATAAACCAACGATTAACGGTTCGTCTATACCAGAAGATGTCAGAGAGCAATGGATCTTGCATTCGACCGATATCCTTCACGATCCGATTTGATACTCGAAATTTAACTAGGCGTCTGATTGATAGAAGATGCCTTCACAGTTAGTAGGTAACAAAACCAGTTCAAACGAATTCCGTTTGTGCTCTCTCGGGGGTACCATTTGCATTCTAAATTCTAATGCTGGAGATACCAGAAAGTGTTCCAAGCGTTAGTTGTTATCCACCAACAAAAGAGACTCGAAAATGGTTGACGTTTGGAAATGGACAGAAGTGAATCCAGGTATGCGTTCTCTGAATCAATCGTTCAGAGTTACAGATTATTGGACCAACGGTGACCTTGCAAGTCCACGAATTTGGAAATGGATTAATGCGTCCATTCCCGGAAAAACTCCTGAAGTTGAAATACTTGTCAAATATTAAACATCGAAAAGGGTTACTCATATACCTCGAGCAAGAAAGCAAAGCGGTTCAATATACCATTGGAGACCATACTCCAGCGGAGCACAAATCCTCCACCACGACAAAAGAATGTTTATTGATCTTATGAACACTGGACAGGTGATGATTGTGTTTGCTAAACCATAAGTTCAGTACCGAAATGTACCACAAACGATTGAAAGAGATGAAGGAAAATGGGGAACCTTCCAGGACGTCATCTTCAAGTACCATTCCACCATTAGTGGCACTGCAGACGCAAACAACTTTACCTGGAATATTTTTGTTGCGACTGGGCAAAAACATTTTCTTCATGATCGGCATTTTTCATAGTGGAACAAGGCAATCAAGGGTTGGTGAAGGAACAACGCAAAGAACAGAAACTCCGCTTTTCACTAAGGCAGAGATCCAGTACCGAAATGCACCAAATAGCGTTGAACTCGAATTATGACGATTCATGTGTGTAAACAACGTCACCTCAAAGTAGTAAGGGTTTTGATGGAACAGTGATCGACCAGAAGTTGCTCGATCTGGTGCGTCTCACTCTGATTAAAAAATCCTCAACTGGCACAATCCACTTACAAGGGGAACTTGTGATCTACTTTGACAGCGAACATATTGACCAAATATGCGGAATATCATGATAAACGGTGTATTTTCTTTCCGAAAGAAGCCAAGTATTCACTTCAAACTGACGCCATACACAAAGTCTAAAACAGTCGGTATCAGAGTCAGACGTTGGCTATCGATGGCCCATCGATCTCATGGCTCCATTTCAGGGAGAAGCAAAACATTGTGCTTCTGATGAAGCACTTATCAAAGTGAAACACCCCGATCAGATTTGTGGAAAAGAAAGATAATGCGGCAAGCATGGGAGTGATGGGGCATATGTTGGCCAATCACGTTGACCCGTAGAATATCCTTTAATAGCAATGACCATATTTTGGATACGAAGAATCTTGCATGCACTAACGCAATTTGGGTGATAAAAGACTACGCATGAGTCCCGAATAGTGACCGTGATTAGCGGACAAAGAGGAAAATTCACTACTTCCATAATTGCAGACACATGGCTGGCCCGCACAGGCAGATGCGAACAAAACATCGTTTGAATTGATGTACCATAAGTTGTCTGAATTGCTTAGATACCAAGTAATGTAGGCTATTATCTCAGCGGCTGCAAGAGGTATGCTCGCTATCGATTGAATGAGCCATATCCCAACCCCGGGAAAATCCACCTGTCTGAAATACACGGAAAACAAATATACTTCCAAAGGGTTCCCAGGTAAAGTTCAAGTAATATGCCAGGTGATTTTCTAACTGACCAAACTCAACGAAGTGGCCCCTCGGACGGAAAGTTCCGTACATCGTATTGCGAGAAGTGGGCCGTGTACAAAATTCAGAAATTGAACAACATCAGCAGTGCGAACATGAATGCAAGTGAAAGATGGCACAATGAAACTATCTCTACCCCACTTCATCGTCGCAGCTCAAACGCTTGCGAACAAAGCGGCCTAAAGATTGTTGTCAGTGCCAAACAGGTTTGCGGTCCTTGCTCACTGCCCAAACAGCTTTTTAACCCGTGGGTGGGTGGGTGGGTGCAGATGCAGGTAGGTGCTACTTGCACTGAACATTTATTTTGTTGCGCACCAAGTAAAAACTTCTATGATTTCTCACAGTTTCTCGAAGCTTGAACAGCACAAGACTGTGTGTTTCGTGTACTTGCTTACTTTACTGCGACTGGCTCTTTGGAAAGGATAAGCCAGATCCACACATGACCACGATGAAGATCATGAGGTTTCTTAGGGGTTTGGTACAACAGACGTCCCCAGCGTCACTCGGCGTTTGTTTTGTTTTTCAAGGCGCAACTCTAGCCTTTGTACAACTAAGTGCGAACTGCAACGCAGCAGGAAGTAATCCCTCGCCTCGGAAGTGCGGAGGTCAATGACTTTAGTTTTAAAAGGCCAGTCACATCGACCTTTGTCATGACGCCGTCATTGGGCTTAGACGGCTTTTGAATAGGATCCAGGTGACCAGCCTGAAACCTACCACACCCTAATAGTGCCACCGCCGCTGTTTGTTCGCGACTGCTAATTTGTTGCGGTATGCCATAACTTATTCACCGCTAACCTTCCTCGGTTAAGGTAACTACCTATCCACAACCCGGGGACGCGGTTGGTAGCATTCAGCTCCGCCTAACTCCTGTGGATGTTAATAAACTGTTCAACTGTTTGGTCATCAATTTGAAAGTGTTTCATGCAAAATTTCTTTTACAATTTTCACCCCCTATTTCGCATCCACGCATTTCATTCTGACCATAAACAGTTGCTCAATTTGACTCTCGAATTATGAAATTAGAACGGCGCTGAGAACAACAATGATCCAAACACGAAAGTCCCTGGAGCTGACCCCAATGGGTACACAAACCCGTTAAGCTTCGCTGATGAGTCGCCACAAGGATGAAACAGCTCATCAATCCTCTTCGTTGGTTATTAAACACACCTAAACACATACACACACACACCAAACGTCAGCACAGTTAGAGGGTAAAACGTGGCACAATAATAACAGTTTTCACCGAAGTTGGACTGGAACCCTGATCGGTATAGAGGAGAATACAAATGCAGTGGATTGCTTACAAGAGATCCGCATCAAAACAAGGGAAGAAAAAGAGTGGCAGAGAGAGAGCGCGAAGACATTCCCGTGTCGTCAGGTTGATCTCTCAGTCAGTGATGTAGACGTTTTCGTCGAAGGGGTAAAGTGGGAACTGTGAAATGTTTCAGCGGAAATGTGTCTCAAATTCATTCCCGGGAACCAGTATGACCAAGATTTGTCTGCGTCAACTAATGGAGGACTGCACCTCCCTCGCTGAATGCATCTTATTCAACACCCTTTACTAACCAACGTATCATTCACTAACGAAAAGGCTAAAGCGAAGGTATTGCCTTTGAGGAAGAGTTCATCGCCAGGTGCAGATGATATTCACCCCCAAACCCTGATCAAATCAAATATCCGAGCCATTAGATTTCCGATTCCACGAGGATATTCGATCATACTACAGTCCCACCGTCCCGGAAGTAAGAAGTAATTTCATCCAGTTACAAAGGCGGTTGCTGGGGTAATCCCGCTAACCACCGCTATGTAACCCTCCTTCCAGTGTTGTCCAAAGTCATGGAGCCCATAGTAGCAGACTCTCTGATGGAATTCCTAGGGAAGCCCAACGTTCTGTCACCTAGGCAATTTGCATCCCGACAGAAGCTATCCTGCGCTACCAATCTGCTCGTCGCACAAGAAGAACGAACAAGAACAGATGATGGTGGCAATACAGTAGATGTTATTTATCTTGAATTCTCGGGTGAACCACAAAATCCTACTGCGACAACTCAGTAATTACGGTTTTCGGGTCTTCATGCTTGATCCATTTCTCCAAAATCGGACGATCTCAGTACTTGTTTCTGCTTCACTTACCAGTCCTATTAACGTTACCCACGGGGTTTCCCAAAGATTTTTGCTTAGCCCTCACTTTGTCCTAGCATTCATAAACGACCTACCGAATGCTCTGGGGCTACAATCGTTACTGTTTGCAGATAACGCCAAAATATGGAATACAATGGCGCAACCAGCGAGCTCGCTGGTACTCCAGGAAAAACTGGAAGCAGCTCATGTTTGGTCTCTTTTGAACGATATTGAATTCAATGTACCCAAGTGTAAGGTTCTATCTCTACGAAACAAAAGGCGATTTTCATACTTCCGCGGAATTGAAAAACTGTCACGTTTTAAGTGAGGAGGACCTGGGAATCATCATTCAACTGCTCACTGCCCACTCAACTGCGCCAGGTTGTCGAATGCAGCTGTAAAGATTCCTTAGGTGTGTGGGTTCAGTCAATGAGCCCGTCTGTCAATCAGTTTGAATACGAGATGAACTCTTTCATCAATCCGTTTTGCTCCATATATTTTTTCGTATTCATACATGCTTCAGATGCGTCATTAACATGGTAGAGTTGTAATTGTTTTTATTCAGGACTTTTCATACCACGAAATGAAAAACTCATTCCGATGTTTTTGGTCAAAATGTTTGCCAAATTTGCTTTTCCAGATCCTGTTAAGATTTGTGCGTCTATTGGAAGAATGTTGGTGCGCACGACCGGAAGAACGGCTCACAATGCTTCGAATTAAAAAGACCCTGGGAGAATTGATTTCCCGAGAGAAAGAATCCTATTCAAATCCAACGGACACTGTAGAAGAGACAGAACTTCAGATGAACCAAAGGGATGATAAGTCGAACCAATTGTTGGACAACAATTTCCTAACCGGCACTGCTTTGACCTATCTAAAAGGTAATGTAGCGAATTATTATAAGCGTATTGCAAACAGGCGAGAGAGAGAGAGAGAGAGCAGAGAGATTGTAACTTTCTACCACAGAGCTGACAAATGTCACTGATTTTAAGCTATCGATTTTATTCTCACCATGATCTGTCTCATGGGATGGAACTTGAATATTTTTCAGCTCTTAGTTCAAACGATTTGACAGCATCCTAATATATATATATATATTTGATTGAGTACTCTACAACTGGAGCCTTTGGCTAGCCAAAGCCTAGTCCTCGGCGGGGTGGAAAAACTGCAAACGGCGCTGGTGTCCGATTCGTCGGATCATATGCCTGTTGGACGGTGTCAAACGACCAAGGTACCGCATACACCTTGATGCCCAATCGAGCCGGTGACCATTGCCACAACCAGGAAGTTGTGTGTGTGGTTCGTACGTCTCCCCATGGTTGGTTTAGAATCAACCTGCGTCATCTATTGCACCGTGATGACATCCGACTGCCCTTTAAGGGAAGGGTGTACATCGCCCTAGTTCTTGGCCTTCTGCTTTACGGTTTAAAGACCTGGCACCGCGGGGTTGAGGATGCTAATCGACTTTCTGTATTCGACCACCGAAGATGGTGTCTGGTAGGAACAACTGGTAAGTACTGACGAGGTTCAGCGTCGTGTGCTGGATACTGATAGTTGAACTCTAACAGGAGTAATCGTTCGAAACCGCCCCTGATCATTCGGTCATGTTTTTCGGATGCTTGCACATAGTCTACTCCTCCCTGCTCTCTTGACACATGCTGAGTAATGTCCGAAGAAACATCGCGAGGGTCAAACCGTGCCATGAAGTAATGGTATGAAGAAGATAGTTCGAGATAGAACTTTGCTTGGTGCAATCCGACTTCCAAAAAGGGGTCTAAACGATAAGGATTGTGGTTGGTTAGATAGGCAGAGATGTGGCTCAGAACAGAAGTCAGTTACGCGAATGCTGTACGGTTTGATTGTCGATATCGTGTGCCCCCACAAAAAGCGACAAACTAACACGAAAAGTATCCGAAATTGTGCGGTGAAACCAACGAAAGCCACTGCTATTCTAATTATCCTAATTCGGTGAATTTTTCGATTTCCGTACAGCTATTTCATGCACTCAACCTGTCCACCATTTCGTTATTTTTGTTGATGCGTTGAGAAAACCATACGTGTTCTCAGTCGGGTGACACAATGCGTGCAGTGAAAGGGAGCGTGATACAAGGTTATTATCATCGCAAACGTAGGTACATCACAAAAACCTCTTCTACGCACAGATCAGGCCTCAAATTGTTAAGGGATGATCGCCTTCTTTGAACCGAAGCGTCCATTTGGTTTGAAGTTTGAAGCAATATCGTGCTATTGCGCATTCAGGAAGTTTACCTCCTCGAAGTACCGATTTCTGATCAACAGGCAATGTTCAGTCTTCCTGACCGATGGCGAATCGTAGGTGCATTGTGAAAAATATGAATGCAACTGTAGGAGGCTGAACCGTAGGTGCTGCCTACGTTTGATTGATTTATGGAGTTGATTGATACCTGGACCATGTTCGACTTTGCGGCAAGACAGATGGACTCAATTACAGTACGCAGAAGATGACCAACCCTCGTAATTATTTAATTATTTCCTTTAAATGGTATCACGATAACAAAGGGGTTTCTTTTCTACCGTTCAATATTTTGGCCTGTAGGCATTAGGTGTGTTATGTATTGTTATGTATTAATGGTGAGGGAGTAGATGAGGTATTGATCAATTCACTTGACTCACTTACTAGAACCATCAGACTAAACAAGCACCGAACTCTGCCGAAAAAAGGTTCCTATAACTCCACTTTTTAACTTGTAGAGACTAAAAGCATTGTCAGTCTGAGCTCAGCCCTTATCCATGCACCCTTGTTGTGAATGGGCGTGTGGAGAGTGCCTTGTCAGCAACAATTCGATAGAAATGGCGGTGATTCATTACGTTCACACGTTCTAACCTGAAACTGATATTACTGTGCCTCCGGATCAGTTTGTTGAACAGGTCCCTGGCAGCGTTTTTGGTTACCCAACGTGTCACTAACTGTACAGTCCTGAACCATTGAGCTTTTCAACTTGCTTCCAAATTTTTGCATAACAAAAGATCAGCTGAGAATAGTCAAAGTAAGCTTAACCTAACCGTTTCATCTATCCGACAGCAGATTCTACCACTGCAAACTACAAACACACAATTCAACTAATGTTCTTAATTCATTCGGTGGAACTCCAATTTGACTAGCGCTTTGGGCAACTTTTGTATTTATGGAAGTTGATTTGTGGTGCTGAGGTCTCCTCTTTTTTTTCATTTCATTTTACTTCTATTTATTGAATGCGCAAAGATATAATTTTCAGGAAGAGGGCAGCGGCCAATCAAAGAACTGCTATTCAAAACACAACAGGGGAAGTCAGACGGTGGTGATGTGATTCGAACACAGCCCCGGGGTGATAATTTGGTGGCGTTACCACCGGGCCACCACCGCCCATCAATGAGGCAACTGAGAGCTAAAAGAATCCCCAGTTTTCTGGAGCTTTGGTAACCCCTTCCTCCTCCCCCCCCCTATCTGCGCTAATAATGTTTCACAAAGTCTCACATCACTCATTGTATTGGTGATCACACCACATACTCAAAACTATTTCCAATAGGAAATAATCAATTTCTCAATGATCTTAATTTTCTCATTTTTTTTAAAAATCCATTTAGAAACCGATCACGGCCAGTGAGAATAATTTCCATTTGCTCCCATCTATTCTTTTAGTGAATAAATCAAAATACTATCATTATTCTTGAACTCCTGTAGGGTTTTTAAATGGTCTTCTAGTGTTAAATTTGAGTTGTGGTGGGATTTTTGACGGTGGTCAGTAAGTTCTATACTCTTCGATTTGAACCGTCCTGTGCTTCTGACATGATGAGCTTAAGGTCAAATTTTGAAACTGTGCATCATTTTCAAAACTACACATCATTCACAGTGTATAGTGAACGTGAAAACCAATGACATTGCTTCTAATTCTACTCGGTCAAGGTACGATGAGGACATGCAATGCACATCTGTTGATGGCTAGGCTAGGAAGCCATTTGAGTGGCAAGCTTGGAATGTTGATCTCAATAACGCGTTCAGTAATGCTTTCCAGCTCTGCAGTTGTATTTCTTGACTGAACTTGTGGAATTGAGCTCGGAAAACACGACTGAAGTCGGTCATGGTAAAGATGCTGTGGGTTCCTATTCTAGGAACCACGCTCCCAAGATCAGAAGACATCCTTAGAAGAACCAGGTTGTGCTTGGATGGTAATTACTTGTACTTTCCTAATTACTGGATAGTCTGACACTAGAAAAAAGATCAAGTTTCATGGGGTTTTACAGCAAATCAATGCGGGCAGTTTGAGGGGCTTTTCAGCAAAGCAATATCAATAATTAGTGAACAAGTTTCATGGTCTTATTAGGGGGGTGCTCAGTGAAGTATCCGTTAAATTTAAGCAGGTTCGGGACGGATTCTGGCCATCCACTTCAGTTTAATAAAAGATTAAAAGAATAGAAACAAATTCCCGGCCTCAAAATGCATCTTATTTCGTTTCGTGGGACTCCACCTTGAGAACGCGCTTGATACAGGCCGACTTCGACCATCCGCCATTGTTTTCCCATTTCGAATGAGATATTAAAGATCCCCAAATTTAAACTATTCTGTCCAGGCAAAAGATGATCCATGCGTCGAGATCATGCCCCGGAAACCTACACAGTCACCCTCGCCCCATGGACAAGATGAGGGTGTTGAGAAACGGATAAAATCATCCCCCCATGGTGGACTGTTAAAGAAAACTTTTTGATACATGTGCTAGTGAAACTAATGCCGATACTTGAATAAAGTGAGCTCGAGTTCGGATTGAAGATTCACTGAATGAGCAGCAGATCAAAATGAAATCGTGGAAATCACGCAAACAAATAACAGAAGTTTGAATGAATAATTGTTTATTTTGGCTATCCAAACACCGTGGTTTGCATCTTTCAAATGTGAGCTATTCGGTAGTCAGTCATTTAAAAATTGCACGTTCATTGGTTCACCTGACTGGTTGGCCGCTTTGAGGATTCGGATCGAGATGTATATTTTACCAATCCATCTATTCTTTTTCTTTACTGTTTCTTTATTTTTGTTACTTCCTCTCATTAAATATGCAAGGGTATACTGTTCAGGAAAGGGGAAGCGGCTAACCAAAGGGCTGCCATAAAACAGAGAATAGGAAAGTTAGGTAGTGGTGGCGGTGCTGGTGGTGGTGGGATTCAAGCACACGTCCCCGAGGTGAAAATTTGGTGACGTAAACACCGGACCAATTTGCTTGATGATCACCACAGTAGTTTGCCGAACGGGGGACAGAGACAGAAGATCAGCTCATACCATTGTAGGAAGTTGAGAAAACGTAATCGTACGGATGAAAAGAAGTAAACGGAAAACCCGAAAAAAACCAAGGTGGATCGCCGTATCGCAGTTCCGAGCTCGACCTACACAACACCCTTTCATGTGTTTGTGTGTGTGTGTGAAATATTCACAATGATTAATTATTGTTTAACAAGCGCGAACTGGTGGTTCTTTGATTCCGATAATCTCTCACCAGGGCACTCACTTCTGAACGCTGCACTCGGAATGGCCGAGTGGTGTGTGTGTGTGTGTGTGTGTGTGTGTGTGCGATGGATACGAGAATTCTGGTATTCCGAAATCCGTGTATTAGCTGCTGTTCATTCATTGGTGCTTTCCGTCCAGTGCTGACCCCGCGGCTCACGCACACACACGTAGACCAGTGCATGTGCACGGTCTATCAATCAAGCGAGGGCCGCTAATCGTTCAGTCAAACTATTCACTGGAGTCGGGCACAAGATGTGCGGTAGAAATACGGGTGAACTGGAAACTTACTGACCACAGTAATCCTTATGGATGTTTGTGAATGTGTATAGAGATGGTCGCAGATGCACATAAACGCTACCGCTAAATTATTTCGCTAATCTCGTTAGTGAAAGTTAATGGATCAAAAGTGGTTTTATGGATCTCCGTGTGTAGAGCTTGGTCCGACATATCGTGTTTAATTGGCATGCGATTACCAATATTTGTCACAATCGGAACATGCCACAGATAAACCATAAAACAAGAAAACTCCGAGTCCACATTTATCGTGTGCCGTGACATACATGAAATAGAGAGCTGTGGAAAACAGTGGTTCAACAAACCCATAATCAGTAAACAATGGAGTTACACAGAATCCAGAGGGTTTGAGCTGAATCCGGAATGATGCCATGATCTGCTTGGCTCCTGAGTTTGAGCAAATAATCTGTTTATCTGATTGGGCAAGTAACCACAGGTGTTGACTCACAATTAGAATTTTTTGAACGGAATATCAGTTGGTCGGAAGTTTACGCGCAGCTCTCAACTCATCGAGAAGCCCTAAAAATGAATGTTTTCCCTCATCTGGGCACCACCATGATGTCTGTAACGGGACATGTTCTGGGCCATGTCTCGCTCCGTTTAGGTAGACCATGATGTCCCCAACCTTCAGTACACTCCGCTACTCTCTATTAAGTACTTCCCTAGTTTTGGTCCGAGTTTTATCTGTACTTTAGGCTGTCACGAACTTGTTCACCTTGATGCCGGTAAACATCTTGCATGTTCACGTATCTTAAAAGATAATCTTCCTGTCCTCATTTGATATCGCCGCACCGATCTCCGTTTCAGATTCATGAAGCTTATCGGTCTATTCTTATGTTCTTATCTTTCATGGTCATTCTACATACGTATCCACATGCCTCTAGCGCAACGCGCAAATTCGGCTTCCTCTTCCACACGAAACGAACGTCGTTTTGAATTATACTCATCTCCCCTTAATCTAGAAAGCCCAGGTTCCTGTGTACTTGAAGATTGCAGTCATGTATGAGGCAAAACGTCGTCAAATGCTTTATCTGCTCTTCTTCGGGCTTAACTTAAGGCCAATCGCTTCCTCATCAGCGATCAGTCCTTAATATTGAACTTGTAGTCACTAGTTGACTGATAAACAGTTGATTCCTTATTCGTATCCTATCGTTACTATTATGGTTTCTGTTTAACTAACATACTTTTGTTATCCCTCTTTCACTTGATCGTCCTGGTCGGTTCTGTGTTAATGCGGCTGGAACTCAACCATCCCATTCCTCCTCGCGTACAATTTTTCATACCTACATTTAAACCGAGAATAAATAATCTGGTTTCAGTTTGAATATTCCCTTCACCAAGGTGTTTGCAGCGTTCCTCCGAATTTACCCGTTTGACTGGATTCACTCGTGTGCAATAACTAAGTGAATTCTTATGAAATGATAGTTTGCAATCTGATCTATCAAGACATTTTTCACGCTTATAAAGTGAGAAATGACAACCATTTCCGGTCATTTGTGACTCAAACGGAAACAATGTAGACATTATACTTCCTAGTGGTGATCATGGTTGGACTGACCGCAGTCAGATATTCGAACATTTCGTGACGAGGCTGGGTAATATACATATCTAAACTTTGGTTGAACCGCGCTCTGCTCATCTGTGCATATTTGTAGTCGTGTGACATGAGAGCGATCTGATTGGTCCAAGTCAAGGTCACGATTTCGACGGAATTGATTGTAGTGTAAGACCGATGTGCCTGCGACGGTTCACGGCAATTAATAGTAAGTAAGTGCAATACACCCAATTTCGTAACTATATATCTGATTAAACGCTCAACTAAACCTATCCAAACATTTTCTTTTTTTATTTCATACATATTTGCAGTAAGTGAAACAGTTTGACTGAGAATGAAAACCGCGATCAAGAGACAATCAGGTCAAGCAAGCATGGAACACACGGTGCAGTACAATCAATCGGTTCGGATTATACCATTTTGTATTATTTTTGTGATTTCCCGTCTGTGTACACATTTTTTATACTTCCTTCTTCTTGCTTGTATTCACCTTTTCCACGGGGCATGAGATTTCCATCCTCGCATGGTAGCCTAGTATCACTACATTCCAATCTTGTTTACAGGTTAAGAATACAGAATTACAAAAGAAATTGAGTGCATTTGATTTTTACGCGCTCGACAAAAGAGATGCACGACGGAGCCGGGGAGGGAGAACCAATTTGCGAAATTCACAGCACACGAATTATTCTTTTGGTCCATTCCCCCGGGGTTGAATACTGTGTCAATTAAATTTCCATCCTCTTAAAAAAGGAAACCATTCGTATTTTGGGAAGGTAATATACCAACTTAGTTCTTCTGCTTGCGGGCTTTCATTATTTCAAAAGCCGTTTAGTGCGTTTTTGTCATTTTTTTTTATACTTCCGGGTACGAATAATACACTTAGCAAGACCATGTATCATTTTCCCGTCTCGCCTCGTCTTGCATGCAGTAAATGCGTTGAGTTGAGTGTACCATCAACCACTGGAATATCTCTAAGCTTCAGATTGTTCAATAAGTACTTTGATTTGGGTAGGTTTGTTTTGGATCACGGACGGATACTGATTTAAGCGACGGGTAGAGAAAACGTGAGAGACAGGGAGCATCAAGAAAAAAGAACGAATTATCGCTCATAGTTTTTGGCTTTGATATACCATCGTCAGAGAATGCATCAATGTGTGAAGTTGTCGAAAATACAGCTAACGAATTTATCAAAAGAAACAACTTACTGACTCACTTTTTCGCATCCAGCTTCAGTTAAACCCCTCAATATTTTAGCCTCGACGCACAAATTTCAGTCATGCCGCATCGGGGAGGTCAGATCAAAAGTATCGGATTATTCTGAGGTCAACGAATGTGGAAACGTTTTTTTCTACAAATGTTGATGTTGTAAAGCTTGGCTATTAAACGAGAAGCTGCATCACATGTTGACTGGAGAAGGTTTAACCGATCTGTCCGTATGGTCAAATTACTGGAAACATCTCGTACAGCTTCACTGCTTCCGTATAACATGCGAGATACCCCTGTGAGTAAACATCTCAAGTTTAATACAAATAGTGTATTGCCTCACTTTCACGTGCCCCGAAATAAATCAAAAAGTGATATACATACCGTTCCCTATATCCACTTGAAATGAATGCCAATGTTGAGACCCGGTTACAACAACAAAAGTCTGAGGAGAATGAACACTGTTCATTAAAAAAAAACCTTTAGCACACCGTTTCCCAAGCATGCTATAGACCAAACCGGTAATTCTTGAGCCTCAACCTTGATAATTATGTCAAATGTTGCGGTTTTAATAAACCGATGACAGTTATTGGGGGTG